GGGGGGGTGGCGCTGGGAGGGGTTTGGGGGGAAAAAGGGAGAATTTTCCAGGGATGGAAATCGGGATCCTGCCTCAGAGATGATGGAGGCAGGATCTGGGATCTGGGATTTTGGGATTTGGGGGAGAAAGGGGGAATTTCCAAGGGAAGGGGCCCCAAATTCAGGGATTCTCCCTCATCCCAGAAACCCCAAAATCCAGGAATAAAAAAAGTGGGAGTTCTTCCCCATCCCTGATCCCATTTTTCTGAGGTGGTGTGAGAATCCAATTTTTTCTTCCCGAATCCCAATTTTTTCTCCTCAAATTCCCAATATTTCCTCTCAAATCCCAATTTTTATCCCCAAAAGCTAAATCCCCAGGGCCGATCTGGGAAATTCCATCCCAGCCCTTTGGGAAGGGGAGGAAAAAATCGGGAATATTTTTTTAAATTTTTTTTTTTTTTTACATCAGGTTTTCCCTAGAAAACTCAAAAAAAAATTAAAGGAAAAAAAAAAAAAAACACAAAAACAAAACCAAAAAAACTTTCAGGGATTTTTGGGATGAATTCTGCCCATGCCTGGTTTTAATTCCAGGGGCCGCTTCCTGGTGATTAATGAGGGACAAGGGTGGTTAATGAGGCGCTAATTAACGTCCGGCGGCCGCTAATTAGCCCGCGGAGTTGATTGACAGTTGGAGGGGGAGGAGGAGCTGGGAATGCGATCACAAAAAAAATCCCCCAAAAAAACACCAAAAAAATTTTTAAAAACTCAAAAAATCCCCAAAATTTAAAAAAAAATTAAAAAAAAAAAAATTAAAAAAAATTAAAAACCGACCCCTCCCGGTTCGGGGATTCCTCCCCCGGTACCGGGGGGGGTCACTCACGATTTTCTCGGATGTCCCGGCCCGGGACACGGCGGTGCCGTTGAGCCCCACGAGCGACGGGAGGGTCTGGGACATCCAGTTGGTGACCATGGCCATGGTGCTGAGCACGGCCCCGATCTTCAGCAGCGGCACCGTCATTGTCGCCGCCGCCGCCGCCACCGGCAGCGCCCCGTGCCCATCACCCCCCCGGTGACACCGGGAACCGGCAGCGGCTCGAGGAGAGACCCCCCCCCCCCCCCGGCCTCGAGGAGAGGCCCCCCCCCCCGCGGTACCGGGAACCGGGGGTGGCACCCGGAATCGGCACCGGTTCGATCGGAGCCCCCCCGCCGTAAAAACGCGGCACCGGGAATCGGAGGTGGCACCGGCACCTCTCCCCGGGGGTGGTACCGGGAACCGGCACCGGTTCGAGCAGAACCCCACCCGCCTTCAAAACGCGGCACCGGGAACGGCACCGGGAACGGCTCCGGGAACCGGGACTCGCACCCTCGATCTCTCCCGGGGGTGGCACCGGGAGCCGGTACCGGCCCGATCAGAGCCGCCCCCGCGGTTTTAAAGCGGTCCCGGGGTGGCACCGGGAGCCCCCCAAAGGCCCCCCGGGGGTGTCGCCGGTGTCCGGGGGCGGCACCCCCGTCCCGGGGCTGTCGCCGGTGCCGGTGCCGGTGCCGGGGGCGGGTTCGGGATGGGTTCGGGATGGGTTCGGGATGGGTTTAGGATTCGGGATGGTTTTGGGATGGGTTCGGGGTGGGAGCCCTCCAATATCCCAAATTTAGGGGACGTGAACCCCAAAATCCACCAGGACCCCCAAAATGCCCCCAACCCGGCCAGTTTTGGCTTTTTTTTTTTGGGGGGGGGGGGGGTTTTTGGGGTTTTTGGGGTTTTTTGGGGTTTTGGGAATTTTGGGGGATTTTGGAGATTTGTGGGGGAAATTTGGGGTTGTTTTGGGGGGAAATTTTGGAGTTTTTGGAGAGCTCCTTTCCCCCAGTGTCCCCAGTTTCCCCTAATGTCCCCCCAGTGTCCCCCAGTTCAAACTGGAGGTGTCTGGGAAGGTCCCAGGGCCCCCCCCCCAGTGTCCCCAGTTGTCTCCCAGTTGTCCCCCAGTTCAAACTGGGGGTGTCCCCAGTGTCCCCCAGTATCTCCCAGTGCCCCCCAGTGTCCCCTCTTGTCCCCCAGTTCGAACTGGGGGTGGATTTTAGGGGGATTTGAGGAGTTTGGGGGGGGTCCTGTTGTCCTCATCACACCCTGGAACCGCCCCCTAAATCCCAAATTTCCCATTAATTAAATCCATTCCCTATTAATTCAATCCCATATTCCTTATCAGTGAATCTCGTATTTCCCATTCAATCCCATATTTCCTATTAATAAACCCCATATTCCCTATTGAATAAATCAAATTATTCCCTATTAACAAATCTAATTATGTCCTACTAATAAGTCCCATTTTTTTCCTATTAAATGAATCCCCAAATTCCCAATTTTAGCCCTTTTTCCCTCCATTTTAAGCTCCAAATCCCACCAAAAAAAAAAAAAAAAAAAAAAAAAACCAAAAAAAAAAAAAAAAAAAAAAAAACAAAAAAAAAAAAAGTAATGTATTCTCCTTTCCCCAATTCTGTTTTCCAAAACAGTAAAATTGGTTAGTATCTGAAACATTAAAAACAAATAATCAACCACCCCTCAAAAAAACCCCCAAAAAAAACAAACAAACAAAAAAAAAAACCAACAAAAAACCCTCACAAGAGAAAAAACCCAAGCGAAAAAAAAAAAAAAAAAAAAAAACCCCCCAAAAAAACCAAAATCCCCCAAAAAAAAAAAAAAAAAAAAAAAAATCCACAAAACAAAACAAAAAACAAAAACACAAAAGAAAAACCACCTGGAATTTTCCCTCTTTCCAATTTATTTAAAAAAAAAAAAGAAGGGGGGGATAAAGAAAGACACAGAATGACCAGAAATTCCACTGGAGGGAGATTTATTTCTGCAGGAAAGGAGCCGGGGCTTTACAGCTTTTTTTGGGAATTTTGCACGGATCCAAGCTGGGATTTTTGGGATTTTTCCCGTTTTTTTTTCCCACCGAACGAAGCAAAAACAACAACAGAACCGAAAAATCCTGGGGAAAAAACCTCCCCAAATCCAACTTTTTTTCACCCCAAACTGAAAACCCGTGACCCAGAAAGGGCGGGAAAACAGAATTCCGGCCATTTTTCCCAATTTCCTGTGAATTCACCCCAAAAATCCGGCGGTTGTTGTTTGGAAGTCCAAGCGACGGCACCAGGAAATTCCCGGGATAATCCAGACGGACGCTGTGAAGGGACACCACGGGAGCTGCCTCATGTTTGCTATTAATTAATGAGGAATTAATTAACGAATGGTTTGGATCAAGCGGAGCCTTCGGGTCGGGGGCGTTTTTTTGGGGAGAAAAGAGCGGGAATGAGTTAAATAAACATGCAGGGGTGGGGGAGGGGCCTGGCCAGGGGCCGCGGAACCGTCGGTGGTGGCGGCGTCATCGGTGTCATCGTCACCGTCACTGCCAACATCATCATCACTGTCACCATGGCTGGCCATTGGCATTGTCACCATGGTAATTGTCATCGTCGTCACGACCATCGTTGGTCACGGTCACCTTCGTTGGTCGTTGTCATTGTCACCACTGTTGGTCATTGTCATTGTCACCATTGTTGGTCATTGTCATCACCACTGGTCATCGTCATTGTCACCATCGCTGGTCATCGTCATTGTCACCATCATTGATCATCGTCATCATCACCATCATTGGCCATGGTTATTGTCACCATCATTGGTCATCATCATCGTCACCATCGCTGGTCATGGTCATCGTCACCATCGCTGGCCACGGTCATGGTCACCTTCGTTGGTCATTGTCACCATCGTTGGCCATGGTCACTGTCATCGTCACCATCGCTGGTCATCGTCATCATCACCACTGTTGGTCATGGTCATTGTCACCATCGTTGGCCATGGTCATTGTCACCATCATTGGTCATCGTCATCATCACCATCGTTGGCCATGGTCATAGTCACCATCATTGGTCATCGTCATCATCACCATCGTTGGCCATGGTCATTGTTATTCTCACTAACGTTGGTCATTGTCACCATCGTTGATCATTGTCATCATCACCATCATTGGTCATTGTCATCGTCACCATCATTGGTCATTGTCATTGTCAATATCATTGGTCATCGTCATCATCACCATCGTTGGCCATGGTCACAGTCATCGTCACCATCGTCAGCCGTGGTCATCATCATCGTCACCATCGTTGATCATTGTCATCGTCACCATCTTCTCACTAACGTTGGTCATTGTCACCATCGTTGGTCATCGTCATCGTCACCATCGTTGGTCATTGTCATCGTCACCATCGCTGGCCGTGGTCATCGTCACTGTTGTCACCAGTGCTGTTGTCACTGTCACTGTTGGCCGTTGTCACCGTCGCCATCGTCACCACTACCACCGGCGGGCGCTGCGTTCCCGGAGCCGGGACCGCCGGGAGCATTCCCAAAATCCCCGGGAATTCCCCGTTTTTGCTCCTGCCCGGGAGGAGGACGCGGAATCACGGAGGAGTTTTGGGATCTGGAGTTTGTGGCGGGAAGCGCAGGGCGGGGTTCCCGCGGATTCCATGGATTCCTGAGGATTCCCATGGACCTCCATGAATTCCCACGGATTCCTGAGGATTTCCACAGATTCCCATCCATTCCTGAGGATTTCCGTGAATTCCCATGAATTCCTGAGGACTTCCATAGACTCCCATAGATTTCCATGGACTTCCAGGAATTCCTGTGGATTTTCATGGATTTCCATGGTTTCCCATGGATTTCCTGAGGATTCCCGCAGATTCCGGAGAATTCCCATGGCTTCCCGTGGAGTTAACAGACTTTGATGGATTCCAATGGATTTCCATGAATTCCCCAGGATTCCCACGGACCCCCACAGATTTCCATGAATTCCCATGAATCCCTGAGGACTTCCACAGGATCCCAGAGATTTCCATGGACTTCCATGAATTCCGGTGAATTTCCAAATATTCCCGTGGATTTCCTGTGGATTCCCATGGATTCCCTGTGGATCCCCGTGGATTCCTGAGAATTCCCATGGCTTCCCGTGGAGTTAACAGACTTTGATGGATTCCAATGGATTTCCGTGAACTCCCCAGGATCCCCGCGGATTCCTGAGGACTCCCACAGATCCCCCACAGACTCCCCGGGGATTCCCCAGGAATTCCCACCCGGATTCCCCACGGGATTCCCAGGAAGGCACTTCACTCTGTGCGGAGGATGATGTGGATGCCGGACTCGGTGAACACGGGGCCGCTCATCTCGCCGGCCCTCAGCGCGAACGAGGCGTCCTCGAATGGCTTCTGCATCTGCCCTGCAGCCCAAAATTCCACAGAAAAACAAACAAAAAAAAAATTTGGGATCTGGGAGCGTTTCCCACAGAGGACTCTGGGATTTGAAGAGGGGGGGATCGATTCTGGGAGTTTGTTCCGCCGGATCGTTCCCAGATGGGATTTTGTGTCATAAAGGGGGAAAAAAAAAAAAAAAAAAAAACATTTAGGAGGTTTGGGCCCTAAAAAAAGAGGTGGTAGCTCCCAAAATTCCATGAAAAATTTGGGATTTGGGGCGTTTCCCAAAGAAAAATCTGGGAATTGAAGGGGGGGAGTTGATTCCAGAAGTTTCTTCCGGTGTATGGATCACAGTTGGAATTATTGGGGATTTGGGTTTTTGAGGGGGATAAATCCCCGAAAACAGATGGATTTGGGGTTTTTTGGGATGAATCCCCTGGAATTGAGGGATTTGGGGTTTTTTGGGATGAATCCCCTGGAATTGAGGGATTTGGGGTTTTTTGGGATGAATCCCCTGGAATTGAGGGATTTGGGGTTTTTTGGGATGAATCCCCTGGAATTGAGGGATCTGGGGAGTTTTTTGGGATGAATCCCCTGGAACTGAGGGATTTGGGGTTTTTTGGGATGAATCCCCTGGAACTGAGGGATTTGAGGTTTTTTGGGATGAATCCCCTGGAACTTTTTTTTTGGGATGAATCCCCTGGAATTGAGGGATCTGGGGAGTTTTTTGGGATGAATCCCATGGATTCCAATGGATTTCCATGAATTCCCCAGGATTCCCACGGACCCCCACAGATTTCCATGAATTCCCATGAATCCCTGAGGACTTCCACAGGATCCCAGAGATTTCCATGGACTTCCATGAATTCCGGTGAATTTCCAAATATTCCCGTGGATTTCCTGTGGATTCCCATGGATTTCCTGTGGATCCCCGTGGATTCCTGAGAATTCCCATGGCTTCCCGTGGAGTTAACAGACTTTGATGGATTCCAATGGATTTCCGTGAACTCCCCAGGATCCCCGCGGATTCCTGAGGACTCCCACAGATCCCCCACAGACTCCCCGGGGATTCCCCAGGAATTCCCACCCGGATTCCCCACGGGATTCCCAGGAAGGCACTTCACTCTGTGCGGAGGATGATGTGGATGCCGGACTCGGTGAACACGGGGCCGCTCATCTCGCCGGCCCTCAGCGCGAACGAGGCGTCCTCGAATGGCTTCTGCATCTGCCCTGCAGCCCAAAATTCCACAGAAAAACAAACAAAAAAAAAATTTGGGATCTGGGAGCGTTTCCCACAGAGGACTCTGGGATTTGAAGAGGGGGGGATCGATTCTGGGAGTTTGTTCCGCCGGATCGTTCCCAGATGGGATTTTGTGTCATAAAGGGGGAAAAAAAAAAAAACCAAAAAACATTTAGGGAGGTTTGGGCCCTAAAAAAAGAGGTAGTAGCACCCAAAATTCCATGAAAAATTTGGGATTTGGGGCGTTTCCCAAAGAAAAATCTGGGAATTGAAGGGGGGGAGTTGATTCCAGAAGTTTCTTCCGGTGTATGGATCACAGTTGGAATTATTGGGGATTTGGGTTTTTGAGGGGGATAAATCCCCGAAAACAGATGGATTTGGGGTTTTTTGGGATGAATCCCCTGGAATTGAGGGATTTGGGGTTTTTTTGGGATTAATCCTCTGGAACTGAGAGATTTGGGGTTTTTTGGGATGAATCCCTCACCTCTCCCAAACGCTCCCAGGTCCCCTCCGGCCTTGGCCGAGCTGCAGTCGCTGAACTGCGAAGCCAAAGACTCAAAATCCTCCTCTCCTGATTTGATCTTCTGGATGTAACCTGGAAAAAAAAAACACGGGAAAAAACCACCAAATTTAGGGATCAAAACCACTCCCAAAATTCCCTGGGTGCCGCGAATACCATGGGAAAGGAGAAAGAGCCCCAAAACCACCCCAAAACCAACATTCCTGGGGGTTTTTTCCCCAAAAAAATCACCATTCCTACTTTTTCTTTTCCCAAAATCACCATTCCCAGGCTTTTTTTCCCCAGAAAATTGCCATTATCAGGGTTTTTTCCCAAAAACCAGCCATTTCAGGGGGCTTTTTTCCCCAAAAATGGGAAAATTGGGGAAAAGAGCCTTTCAGGGAAGGAATCTCGGGATGAATTTTGGGTAATTGTAGAATTTTAGTGCTGAATTCCAGAAAAATGTGGAATTTGGGGTGGAGTCCTGGGAGACCGCAAATCCTTTGGAATTCCTGGGATTCATTCCCAGAATTCCCTCTTCCTATCAGTCACTGATGACCGATAAAGAATGCCCACCTCACGGACTTATTAATCAAATATAAACCGCGCGCAAACATTCACCTAAAATGTTATTAAATCAACATCCCAACGATCCCAAATCCCTCGGAATTCCCAGAACTCCTGGAATTCCTTCCCAGAAACCGTTGATGAGCACCAGAGAACACAAACGCGACGCACGGACGCGCATCCACCGACGCGGATGAAAAGCACATCAAACCCTCCCCAGCATTCCCGGCATTCCCATTTTCCCAGAACCCCCAGCATTCCCGGGAATCCCCCAGCATTCCCAGAACCGCCACCATTCCCAGAACCCCCAGCATTCCCGGCGTTCCGGCACTCGCCGTTGATGAGCTCCAGCGCCTCCTCCTTGGAGCGGGTGATGCGCTCCTGCCTCCAGCTGCTGGGCCGGCGCGACTGGCTGTGCTTGACCAGCAGGTGCGAGCAGCGCACGCGGCCCGGCTCCGCCCGCGCCGCCCCGCTCGGCCGCTCCCATTGGCTGGCGTTCGTCAGGTGGTTGAAGTAGTACACACGGCCTGGGGGGGTTATCGATCGCTTATTGGTTATTGATCACTGATCGGTATCACTAATCCTGATTATTGGCACCAATACCCCCCTTACAGGCCCCAGTATTGACCCCACTAGCTGGCGTTCATCAGGTGGTTGAAGTAGTACACGCGGCCTGGGGGGGTTATCGATCGCTTATCGGTTATTGATCACTGATCGGTATCACTAATACCAATAACCCCCTTACAGGCCCCAGTATTGACCCCACTAACTCGTGTTCACCAGGTGGTTGAAGTAGTACACGCGGCCTGAGGGGTTATTGATCCATTATTGATCACTTATTGGTTATTGACTGGTGATCGGGTATTGATTGGTATCACAAAACCTGGTTATTGGCACCAATACCCCCCTTACAGGCCCCAGTATTGACCCCACTAGCTGGCGTTCGTCGGGTGGTTGAAGTAGTACACATGTCCTGAGGGGTTATCGATCCATTATTGTTTATTGATCGGTGATTGGTTACTGATCGGTATCACTAATCCTGGTTATTGGCACCAATAACCCCCTTACAGGCCCCAGTATTGACCCCACTAACTCGTGTTCACCAGGTGGTTGAAGTGGTACACGCGGCCTGAGGGGTTATCGATCCGTTATTGGTTATTGATCGGTGATTAGTTACTGATCGATATCCCAAATCCTGGTTATTGGCACCAATACTCCTTTTACAGGCCCCAATATTGACCCCGCTAACTCGTGTTCACCAGGTGGTTGAAGTAGTACACGTGTCCTGAGGGGTTATCGATCCGTTATTGATCATTTATTGGTTATTGATCAGTGATTGGGTATTGATCAGTTACTGATTGGTATCAAAAGTCCTGGTTATAGACCCCAGGATTGACCCCACCATCAGGTGACTGAAGTAGCACACCCTTCCTAGGGAATATTGATCAATTATTGGTTATTGATCAGTGTTCGACTCACCAAACCCCAAGTTATAGACCCCAACCCCCAATTTACCGACCCCAACCCCAACTTCCTGACCCCCGAACCGGGTTTGGACCCCAAAAAGTCAAATTCTGACCCCAAAAATCAACTCCTGATCCCCCCAAAAAACCTCCTCGGTCCTGAGCCCCTTCCTGCTGGGGAGTGACCCCCACCCAAATCCCCCTCAACCGGGGGTCCCTCCTTCCCTGAGGCGACCAGAAACCCCTGAATCGGGGACCCCCGCCTCAATTTTCCCAACGAGAGTGACCTCCCCACCCTGAGGCGATGCCCCTCACAGGACCCCCCCCCTCAATTCCGTGCCCCCCCCTCAATTCCCCTCACGCACCTTCCCCCCTCCCCACGCCCCCTCATCCCCTCCAAAGCCCAACCCCGCCGCCCTCATCCCCCTTTGTAGTACACGTGTCCTGAGGGGTTATCGATCCGTTATTGATCACTTATTGGTTATTGATCAGTGATTGGGTATTGATCAGTTACTGATTGGTATCAAAAGTCCTGGTTATAGACCCCAGGATTGACCCCACCATCAGGTGACTGAAGTAGCACACCCTTCCTAGGGAATATTGATCAATTATTGGTTATTGATCAGTGCTCGACTCAGCAAACCCCAAGTTATAGACCCCAACCCCCAATTTGCCGACCCCAACCCCAACTTCCTGACCCCCGAACCGGGTTTGGACCCCAAAAAGTCAAATTCTGACCCCAAAAATCAACTCCTGATCCCCCCAAAAAACCTCCTCGGTCCTGAGCCCCTTCCTGCTGGGGGAGTGACCCCCACCCAAATCCCCCTCAACCGGGGGTCCCTCCTTCCCTGAGGCGACCAGAAACCCCTGAATCGGGGACCCCCGCCTCAATTTTCCCAACGAGAGTGACCTCCCCACCCTGAGGCGATGCCCCTCACAGGACCCCCCCCCTCAATTCCGTGCCCCCCCCTCAATTCCCCTCACGCACCTTCCCCCCTCCCCACGCCCCCTCATCCCCTCCAAAGCCCAACCCCGCCGCCCTCATCCCCCTTTCCCACCTCCCCCATCCCCGCCGCTCCATCCCCGCGGCCCCCCCGGTAGCCCCCCGCCCTCAGGCCCTCACCGGAGCTGCGGCTCATGCGCTTCTCCCACCCCGCGGGCAGCTTCTCCTCCTCCGCCATCTTCCCTTCCCTCTGCCCGCCCTGCGCGGCCCGCCCCCACTGCCGCGCCGAGGGGCGGGCAAACCCGCCCTTTTCGCCCTTCCATTGGTCGGCGGGGACGCCGTGCCCTTAGCCGCGCAATTTTATTGGCGGAGCGACCCATCAATCAGGCGCGCGGTGAAGCCGAGGAGCGCGCGGGAAAGGAGGGACTGTGGCCGTGAGTGGACAAACTTAACCGGAACGCAAAGACGCACCGCCGCCGCCACCGTTCCCGGTTAGGGCGTCCCGGTCCCACCGGAGCCACGGAATAACCGAAGATTTCAAAAGCAGCTTTATTATCAATAAATTTAACGCTCCAGAACGCGCGCGCCCGCTTTAAAGCCTCAGCTTAGCGCCGGTTTGGTCACAGAGGGGATGGGAGGGGGAGAAATGGGGGTGTGGAGGAAAACGGGGAACACCGGAAGAACCGGGGGACACCGAGGGGACGCAGCAGCCGCTCCTGGCCGTTCATCCCTGTCCCGGATCTCATCCGCAGTAGGGATTAAGGCCCACCGGGGGTGGGTTGGTGGGTTTGAGGTGGGGGGGGGGACAGGGGGGCGAGGGGTGCGGGGGCCCCCCGGGAC